GTCTTCTGTAAGAAAAGAGGTAGCACTGAAGGCAGCAGCAGCTGGTACTACACCAGTGATGCATCCAGCGCTCCCACCGACACACTCTTGCATGCTACAGGTATATGCCATTAAGTCCATTTCACATACACAGAAAAGGCAATATAAGTGGCCCATAAGGAAAAGCATATATATATATATATTCTTTTTACCCTATTAATATCTCCTACTATAGTTAATCAGTAGTGTAAGACACAGTACAAGACATTAATCTACAGAAACTCAACAAAAGTGCAATCATTTTCCATTTCTGGTAGGTATATTCAACTGCAAATTCCCTCCCCACCCCGAAAAAAGGTCATTCATGCTTTACAGATCTTATATTCGGCAGTACATGGAGTGCTGTCACGTTTCCTACAAACAAAAAAACAAATCAAATCAGAGATTTTACATTTAAATAGTTTTAACATTTATTCTGAAAGCACATCCTTAGTTTTATCATTAAGTCAACAGGTAAAGTCATGAAACTACATCATTATTTGTCCTCTTCTTACTAAGCAACTGCTAGACTGACGAGATTTTTTGCTTCATTTCATCCACTAGAATCCTAAGAATGACCCACGGAGAACAGCATTTGATCCAAACGGATCGTTTCAAGTTATGAACGGACCATGCCCGAGTATTATGAAAAACTGAAAACAGACAGAACAGTTATAGGATTCCTAACTAACTTGGAGGCTACATCAGGAGCACCCCTTATAATTTACTTTAAACACAGTATGTGGTTTAGTACATTATTTTATAACCAGAAGCTCAATATTAGTTTGCGAGAATTTTGGTTTTGTAGTATGCTTACAGAAAATTTACAGTACTTACACATGTTGGGATTAAAATTCATTATTAAATCCATATATACATATTTTCAAGTTAGTGAATAACTCCTGTGTTGCTTTACAGAAAAAAACCTATACCAAACCTCTACACTATTACTCCAGGTCTCTAAGGAGTTCTAGATACCATAAGAAGAACTCGGGCGTTAATAGTATGTACACATACCAGACCATTAATTTGTCATATCATTGTCAGGTGCAAAAGGTTAAGATTGGACATAAGAACTCTTTATTCTGATTCCTTTTTTTCCTTCTTCCAGAAATAAGCCAAACTAATCCAGAAAACTAATCCTCTCTCAATTAGAAACATCTTACTTCAAACCTAAAGATGATATTCCTTAAGCCATACATTATTTTGGAAGAAACTCAAGGCTTAATTTTCCTATATGCCACTTATCAAGTGACTTTTCAGTATTTTTATTCTTTAAAACTAAGTAAAATCAAGATTATGCATTTGAAAAGACCTTTCCATCAAGTTAGAATAAGAGACATAACATTTCAACCATTACCTTCTCCATTGCACGAATTCTGAGAAAAGCGACACAAATGAAGATACCAGTTTACAAAAGTATTTGTGGTGCAAACTCTAACTGTTAAGGTAGTAATGACAAAATACTGACAAGGAACAGTCAAACTAAGCTGTCCTGGCTTAAATCTGTCCTGTTGTAACAGCTTTGAAGAGTCAGGTTTTTGAAAGAGCTAATCTGACCGTACACAAGTGCAAGAGTAATTGCAACTATCAAACACACCTGACTATTGGACTAAGCACTAGTTTAAAATATAGGAGAGGAAATCAGTTCCAAACAAGCAACTATATTTTGACCCTTTTTAGGGCTACAGAACTCTGAATTTGAAAAAGAAATCACCTTTTTATAAAAGGGTTTAAAAAGAAGACCTTGTTTGCACCGTATTTATTTTATTTTTCTTCTAGAAAGCTGAAAATGCAGATGAAACAGTAATTCAGTAATTCAGGCAGACATGTGATCTGCACGCACACTACCTTTATAATTCTAGTGCTCATGTAATGCAGCAAAGGTGGTTTCCAGCTCCAACAGTCTTTTGGTTATATGGAATTATACTACTAGCTAACAAAAGTAACATCACTGGAATTCACTTCATATTACTGAAACAGGTGCAAACATTCTACTGAGTGCGTAGATAGTTTCTGTCTTACAGAAAAATGTTACTCATTCTTTAAAGACAACCCAAAACTAAGATACATGACATGCAATCACCGGAAGCTATCATTTATGACAGTAAGCGATAATTCTTTATGTTGTTTATCCTGTTCTCCCAAAACAAACGAACCATTATTATGTCTTTCCTATAGGAAACTGAGGTTCACAGCTAGCTAGATTCCACACTCCTCCTGAAATTCTGAGTAAACCATAATAAAAAAAGACACTTAAGCTTCATTGCAAAAATCCAAATTAAATGGAAAGTATATACCTTTTTAAGATTCAATTAATTCATTTGTGCGGTTTCTTCCATCTCAGCTGGTACATTAGTTTTTAAAATACATGTTTCCTTGCAACTCTCATCAACTGTATACGAGCTGCACAGCAGAAGGGGGAAAAGCTCTAATTGAACGTCCTATAGAACTGGCAGATTAAACACACAAGAAAGAGAGGGCAAGAAGAGATTTTTGCGGCAATTTGAAGACTATAACCCAGCAAGTATCAGGTACTGGAGGCACAACAGTTCAAAGGCTCAGCTACATCAGGAATCCAGAAAACTACACAGGGAGATCTAGGCCTTAGTAAAAGGAGATTAGGTCGGGCTTTTCAGATAAGAAAGAGGTTTAATAGTCAGATGTTCACAGCGATGAAGCTTAAGGAAAGCACGGGGCACGGTAAGACTTTTCATGCTGTAAAATTTTCAGGAATATAACATTCTTTAATTTTTGATGACGTTGCTTTAGACCCCTCCTCCTTTCTGAACCTTGAGAAGTCTCTGCACAGATGACAGAAAAAAGTGCTACCCTAATAGTATTAACTCCCATGTACTCTTATTTCGACCACCCAGATTGCAGATTACCCAAGTCATGGATAAAAAGCAATTGCTCAAAAGCACTAGATTACTTGGCAGCACACAGGTACACAGCCACTCTGGCCCTTGTAATGATGTTGTATGGCCTATGTGGAAGACACTAAGGCTAAAACTTCACTGGACATAAGTTTGCTTCGGGGTTCTCCCAAGTAGTACTGTGTGTACTTTCTTACAACAGCATTATTTCCTCTCATTTACTTTTTTTAAGCATTCCTTCCTTTGCTTCACCCCAGATAAATTCCAACAGATTTTGTTAAAAGGTAAGTCAGTTTTGATGAGATGCTTATCATGACATTCTATATGTACCACCTAACATGCTCTGAATTGTCAGTATTTTGCATGGTAAACTATTTCTCCCACAAAACAGGCTTTTTTCAAGAAGTTAAAATAAGACATTACTGCAAGAAGCAATGCACAGAGCCATTTAAATCACCTGCCACCCCTCCATGAAAAAGCATACATAACCATCAGTTGAAGATACAGTTCAAAAGGCCCCATATGTCTATTAAAAATAGAACACACTACTACTTATGCATCTAATATTCTACAGTGGACTTTGCAAGTCTTTAACATAGGGACACCGATCATTGCTGCTGCAGGAGAAAAAAAAAAAAAACAAAACCTGAAGTGGATCCACACATTAAACATTCCAGTAGCAAAGCTAACTATTTGCTTCTTCAAACAGCATAGGAGCACCGGTTTAGGCAAAGTCTTTTTTTGTCTGCTCCTTCTAACTAAGCCCATTTTATTCAAGACACCTCTGGTCCAAAACACAAAACACAGCGGTTCTCCAGTTACCCTCCACTACCATTGCTACCTCTTATGTAGAAAAGAAGCTCCTGAGTTCACCTCCAAGGCTTCCAGTTCATGTAAACCACGCTGGCTCCTACAGCCCGTGAGACCTAGTGATGCCAGAGGGTATCCAAGCAATAAAATAACACAAGCCCACATAAGCAAATGCTACCCCTGGTTTTAGGAGGTAAATTGACATGTTTTAGAGCAGGTGTGAACAGTACTTTCCTCAGCAAGTGTACCTATGCTAAACACAAGCTTAAGAACAAGGTTCTTCCTTCCTTGAAATAAGTGCAAGTGTTAATTAGCAGCTTATCTGAATAGCAGGTACAAAACCAAAGTCAAATGTATTGTTAGGCACTTTAGCTTCACATCAGCTGCTGCGATAAGCTCACATATAATTAACAGGCATTTGAAGAAGAAAGGGCAGGTAAAGCTCAAGAAACTTACATACGTGTTAGCACCGCTTTTGCTCAGTCGTTTAGAAATTTGCAATAATAATAATAAAAATAGTAGGCTTACTCACCCATTTTGTGAACAGCATTTCTTATAGAACCAGAAGGCTGCCAGGCCCGCCACAACTATCACAAGCACTTTAGGAAGAATTAAAAAAAAGCCTTAGGGTGATAGAGATCATTGCTAGCTTATAAAAAAGCCTAAAAATTTTTTAGCAGAAATAGTACTATCTTCATCCACAGTCCTAAACAACCCCTCCCCTCCACGCCCTAAACCCTTAAAATTTTCCTGGCTTATTTCACAAATATGTATTTGATGCTTTACTCAAGACACTTCAAGATAGTTCAGCTCCAGAACAGTGACTACCAAAACCCCACTACCTCAGTAACATTAAAACAGGTATGTCAACATCCTAACATTACTTTCACAACAAGTTTATAAGAGAGTGGTAGGCTTACAGAAATGGGTAACAAATGCAAGGACAGAAAAGGGACTGAGCACTTCTGTTCTCTGGCACAGTTATTTACTCAGGCTTCCAGTAAAACCAAGCTCTGGATAGTTTATGAAAGAGACTTAAATTGTGGACGACCACCTTTGAAATTCCATGCCTCACATACATGAAAAAAAGCCTATTTTACAAGAAATTAATCTCTAATTGCTAAGTAATCTTAACTTGTCTTGAACTATGCATATTTAGAAGTAGATAAGCATTTTTAAAGTAAAACTCAAAAATCATGTAGTATCACTGCAATCACAGGTGATCACCAGAATATCAATTCCACATAAAAAATACAACCCACATCGCATCTTGTTCACGTTTTATAAGATACTTACCACAGAGGATGCCCGTAATATACGCACCTAAAAACAGAGTGAATCAGTATCACAAGAGTATCACATGTGCTTATTCAGACATTATTATAAAAATATTCACAAAGTTATTTCAAATAGATCCAGCACTTCTATCAACACAACCCTTGTAGCAGGCCACTTCATAACATTTATTTAACTTAAAATATTCCTATTTGTAAATGGATTTTACCAAAACCTATTTTTCTTATGTCAAAATAAAGAAAGAAGTTTGCATTAAATGATTTCTCCTTAATACAGAAGAAAGTCCCCAAGAAGTAAAGCTCCTGTTACATGTATTTCATTCTAGTGAAAATTCTTGCAGTTTATACTTACTTAACTGGCAAGTTGGCACTTCAGGATTCCATTGATTTTCCCCAATATACTGAATACGAGCTTCACCATGTAATGTGTAGCCTGCATAACATTCAATCGTAATAAAATCTCCGACGGAATATGAAGGTTTTTGTCCATCAATTACTCTACCATGATTTATGTATGGAGTGAAACGAGAACTTTCAGGCTTACCTGGAAAGAGACAGGGGAGGGGGAAGAAAAAGGAAATAAAAGTCCAAGAACAGAGCTAGTACATGAAGCAGATTCAAGAAGTTGCCATCTAAAAGTCCCTACATTTGTGTAAGTATCAGAAGCTCAGTCAATCCTTAAGACATTTTATATGCAAAGGCTTCTTGCTTCCTAGAGGCTGCAGATACTTCTGTTGATGGACATGCTTCAGACACATTAACGGGAATACGCGTCCCAACTTCATCAGGACAAACAGTTGCATCAAAGTAATGACAACCTCTGTTTATATTATAGCAAGTGATTGCATGGTGTAAAGCGAGGTGAGAATAAAGTCTCTGCCATCATCAAAGGAAGAATTTTCAGAAAACATTCCCCGAACAGATCTTTCGCACTGGCTTTTGAACTTTACTGATTTCCATAAACAAAACTAAGACCAAACAAGGACTCCAGCTCTGCTGAAAACTTTCCTCAGTTGCTGAAACTCCACCCCACAATACTCACAACCCCACTAACATAGCCTGTTGGTGCCCTGCTGACACACCTCTGACTTTCAGGGTCTGCACATTAATACATCACACATTTGGAACTTGTCACTCTGCCCTTGATTTTATCAATTATGAGTTTTACTCACATGCACAGTTTCGTAAAGAACTCCACGTGTTCTGTCCTTGACAAATTACTGTCATCTCTTCAGCACCATCAGAAAAAGTACAGTAAGCGTCGCACTTTACATGAACAGTCTCTCCTTCTTCATATATAAATTTCACTGGACTTATTACTGCATGTGTAATCTTTGGGGCACCGCATACAACGTCGGTAACTAATACATGAATTTAAAAGTAAGTTTAGCGATAATAAACTGTAAATATTTCATAATTCATCAACTCACTCCACAAATATACATTGCCTTTGTATGAGAAAAAGAGATCAGCATATCTGAATAGTTTAATTTTACCACAATTTTAAGTATGTTTCCTTTAGAAAACTTCAAAAGAAACATCACCGTAGGTATTCATTAAGGTGATACGATCTTATGATGTGGTAACTGAGAAATTTGTATTTGTTGGTTAATTATTCTTGTAAGCTCTAGAATCATTTTCAGGTCCCTTACTAGACTCACTCGTTATGGAATACCCAAACATACTCTTTGCAGAAGTGGCTGCTGTTCTGGGGAACTCATTATTAGTGTATGCATATAAAAAATTCTCTCTCTGTACTCTACAACATTCCGTCTCCCTCTAGCACCAAGAGGAAGGAGAAAGGTTACAGAAAGACCTCTGCAATGTCCCTAGCCATGCAAATTAGTCCTGACTTAATAATTTGCCCAATCAAAATCTAACAACATACTACACACCTTACAAGATGCCTGGAAAGTAAGGGATGAAGAACTGCACAAGAGAACACAAGACACATAATAGTTTTGATTACTCTAAAAGGGCACTATAAGGTTCGTCATTTTGCATATGCCTAGTTCTTTCTATCAGAATGAGAAACACATGAAACCACCAGAACAGCCACCAAGATGCTATTATGATGCAGGTACATCACAGTATGGCCACGCAACAACTTCCATACGCATGTCCATAACTCAACTCATTCTCGTCCAAAAACTCTTTGGAGTTAAGAGTCACTCAAACACCTAAAATGGCTGCCCTCAGACGAGGCTCCGTGTCAACTTCCTTAGCTTCTGATTTCCAACTACAGTGTTACGATTTTAAACTTTAGCTAAGACAGATGTACAACATTCTCAACATACAAGAAAAGTCGGATTCTTATTTAAAGGCTTACTTTTTTCACAAGTTGGTTTTGGAGGAGACCAGGTGTTATCTTCTCCACAGGTAATTACATCCGGTCCAACCAGGAAATAGCCTGGATCACACTCAAACATGACTGAGTCCCTATAGGTATAGGAAGGTCTAAATCCACTTATTTTTTTCCCATTTTCAACTTTCGGGTTATCACATTTGACCACTGAAATAGGCAGAAGAAGAACAGCTCTGAAACATTTGTTAACATGACCTTTGCAACAGCCACAGCATCCTTCTACCACTTGCAAGTTTCCTTATCTAATTCCTCAAACTGTTTGGGAGGGGCTTTGTAAAAAGGTTATTCTCCTGCAGGTGGAGAAGATCCTTGCCTTAAGGTATTCAGTTGTAACAGTACACAGTCAAATAAGAAATTTCATAATTGATACGATCACATTCCACTTCCAAAAGACATACTCCTGTACAATGGCAAAATTTCAGAAAGCAAAGCGACACTCATTTGGTTCAAATGACAACTTGCAAGCACCTGGTACTTCTCCCCACTTCTGCAAAGCAAGACTTTGCTTGCTGGGCTATGCATTTATTTCTGCATTTGCACAGTAGCTGTCTTTAGAAAAAGAGTTCTTCTTTACCTTTTTACTATTCATCGTCTAACCTCCACATTCTTGCTCTTTACACAATTTTTCTTCAGCTACCCAGGCTTTATGGTCTCTCAGTTCCTTATCACTTCTACCAACAGCATGCTCATACATATACTTTTAAAGTTTTAACTTAAATTTTAGTCATATTCTGTGTCACAATCAATCAATATCCATAACGCAGTTGGATCTGATCTCCACTGGAACTATAGCAAATTTAATACCAGAGGATCTGTTTCTTCTTTTCTGTAGGCAAGTCCATCACCTCCCACCCCCTCCCAAAAGAGGGACAGATACTGAAGTTCTGGAATCACACAGGCTATAATAAAGAAGTATATTAAAAATCCCAACAACCTCTACATTGTGGAGGTGGTTCACTCCAAACTCCATTTAAGTGTGCATCATATGTGCAGAAAATAGTAGCTGGGCCAATCAGCAAGAAGGGATCTGCGCCTTTTGGTACTTCATCACAGGTGTAGGTTACTGCTGTTTGATAAACATAGCTAGACGCCTCAGTGTAGTGGCCGTTGGCTATGCTTGGAGGTGGTTTGCAAGGAATTTCTAGAAATAAATCACACAAATTAGTTGACAGAATTTTGCTGTTACCTTGTTCATCTCAGAAATAGCAAGCCTTGGTTTTCAAGTAATTTCATTTAAAATCCGACATACAGCTATTTCTAAGACAAACTACAGTTATAATTAACAGTTACCGATGGTCATCTATTATAGGGAGTCTCAATCTCAAGAAGAGGTTGACTTTAACTAATATAAGCTAATTACCAAAATAACCGGTATTTTTCAGTGATCGTTCCTCAGGCACATCCCAAGTAGTTCCAGAAAATAAAAATCAGTCCTATTTTATCATCATTTCTTATACTGGCAAGGTTATAGAACAGCTGTTTTTAAATGAACTACCACTACTTGTATATAAACTTAAAACACAGTAGTAATTTCCTTACTTTCACACAAAGGCAGATCTCTACTCCAAGCAACACCATCATTCTTAATTACACAGGAAATTTCATCAGGTCCATGTAATCTGTATCTAGACAGGTAAAAATTTTAAAGAAGTGAAACTTCAGAAATCTCTCATTTCTCCAACAAGCAAGTAGAAACTTTGTTTATATAATTCTGTTCTGTGATTACAGGGACATGACACACCAAGTTTGTGTTGTAATGAGAATGGTATCTTAAATTTTTTTTCTGCGAACAGTCTCAACTTTGAAAACAAAAGAGAAGCAAATGAGACATCAGTAAAGGAAGTGGTGGAAGTCTCATTGCTTTAAGATGTGTACCCTCTAATACTTATGCTCAAAGTTACCAATAGTAAAAAAAATTAGCTGTTAAAAGAAAAGGGAGGAAAAAACCTTGTGAGAGATTAGTGCTTTTGACTTAATTTGCTATACACAGAGAGGTGTGTATTATTCGAGATAATAATGCATGGTGATGAATATATAAATTTATGCTGTCTGCCACAAGAGCATTAAAAGAAGTCATTAGAGGTAACACTCTAGTTTTCACTCTGCAGAATCTCACTAAAAAGCTTAAGCCCTGGTTGATGCAAACAGTTGATGTAAAACCAGGGAATCAAATCAAATTTAACGGTAATTTCATTTGCTCCAGGTAGAATCCCGGAGACGTTTCAAGTCAGAAATGGAATGGAACCTGCATAAGAAAATTTGGGTTTGGTTCAAATCTGGTCTAAACAGAAAAAAATAAAAGAGGATTCATTCATTTTACTGAAACACTTACCCTGGTTCACAAGAAAAAGTAGCTTTTGAACCAAATGTAAGATCTTCCACATTAACAAAACCATGTTGTAATTCTCCTGGATGGTTACATTTTCTTTCTAGAGGGAGGGGAAAAGAAAAGGAAAAAAAAACCATCTACATCTTTGTAGTTATATACAAAGACTAAGCCTTTGGTATATACTGCTCTTACCTTCATTAGCATTTTTCAAGCTTCATTTAAAGTGTTACAGAATACTAATTCTCACTTGAAAAACAACTAAAATTGTTAAATATCAAAGTGAAAAACCAAAAGAGCTCATACGTGCATTACCTTCACAGAACTGCTCTGCGGGCGACCACTGTAAGTCTTTACCACATGTACGAGTTGATTTTCCGGCGATTCTTTTATACCCCGGCCGGCAGATGTACGACACTGTGGTTCCAACAGGAAAGCTCTTCATTGTGCTGAAACTCTCCTCCAGCTCTGCGTATTGCAGCCTATCTGGAGGCATACATGTGTCTGTCAGGGGAAGAGGAAGGAAAAAGCAATGCACAACCTCGTCAACAAGAAGAGATACAAGTCAAGGCACAATGGCACAGAAGCCAGGCTCATTCAGGAGGTTTTAAGGACCTATCAGTAAATCAAAGAGATGAGATTCTTGAGAGCCAGGGCTATCTGTATATTTAACTAGGTTTCAATTTTCCAATTTCTATTTTAATTGCATCCAATGTCCAACTCTACACTAGTAGAGGTTACTTATTCATTACTTTTATGAAGTTCTTCTTTAGCATTCTACCCAAGCAATACACTTCCTTCCAGTTCATATTTTTTGTCAGTTTGCCTTATTTTTGTACTTAAATACGTGACTTAATTCACTGTATCCCCGTTCGCAGCAAACCGCCTATGTAGCTCGCTGCAGCAGAAGCAAACCAACCAGCCACCCTCGCCCAGCTCAGCCCCCTTCCCAAGACAACCGGCCAGGCAGATCCGAAAGGGGAGTGTAAAACCCGCTACACAGTCTGACAGGGACCTGCAGACCCAGGGACGTTCTGCGGTGCGGTTAATGTGAATGTAACGTAAAACTCCTCCACGCCAGAGGCCGGAGAACACGCTCAAGGCCTCGCAGCCCCAACACAAATGTCAGGCCGGCCCAGCCTCTGCGAAGCCTGACAGGCGACAGAGGCCATCACCTCTTTGATGATATCTATTAATTCCCTTTTCAATCTATTTATATTGCTGTTTAGCGATTTACCAAACCACAAAAGAAACTCAGACCTCAAACCCAGGGTCAGAACCAGCGCCCAAAGCCAGCACGCGCCTATTGTTCCACCACCACCACCCCCTTTCTCTCACCTTTTCGCCCCAAACCCCACCGAAGCCACCACTTCTCCCTCCCCACCGCTTCCCCGAGCGGCCCGGCACACCCCCTCAGCCCGGCAGCCCCCCGGGACCAGGGGAGGACGAGCTCTCTCCCTCCTCCCGGTTGCTCTCGAGGGCCCGGCGTTGCCCCTCCGTTCGCCTTCCCCCC